TTATTTTTACAATATAGAACACTCCTAGATGAAAAATTGACTTCACAAGTTACCGTTATCAGTTAGATGCTGTCGTAACAGAAATCGACTAAAAATCGATTGGTATACCGCTGCCACTAATTCACTGTTGCATTTCTAATGATAAACTATTTTACGCTTTTTTTTACGATGTAGTCAGTCTGATAGTTATTCAGCATATTATGAGACGAATAGAGCAAGACAAAATCCAGTTTTATTTTCTTTCCTTCATTTAATACTCGCAATGATTCTCGATAATCTCATCACATAAACAGAATAAAATAATTTAGTTTGATTTTATCCTTCTTCATTTTCGGTATTCTCGTAGATTTTGATAGTATTATGCAATCAATCAGATAAATTAATTTAATTAACTTTTCTTTTTCTTCATATAGTTATCTTGAGATTTGTCGTGCATTTTATGCAACAAAATTAATACGTTAGTTTAGTTTACTTTTCTCTTTCTTCATTTAGTTTTCTCGATTGTTACCGTTCATTTTAGAAGAGAAATGGAATCGTAAAACTAAGTTTTACCTCTGTTGTCTATATTTAGTTATTCCGACAATCGTAGAGTATCTTAGGAAAAATATTGAATAGGTTAGATTAGTTTCATTTCCTCTTTCTTCATTAGTTTTCCCGATTGTTGGCGTACACTTTGTAAGATAAATAGAATAAGAAAACTAACATTACTTTTTTTTTTGTTTTCATTTAGTTATTCGAATAACTGTCGGGCATCTTATTGAGAAAAATTGAATAAGTTAGTGTAGTTCAATTTTTCTTCCGTTATAATCATAGTTGTTCACGACTTTATGCAAGAAATCATATAAGGCAGCTGAGTTTGTTTCTTTATTCTGTATTTAGTTCTGCTTATAGTTGATGAGTATTTGATGAGCAAAACGAGAATAATTTCGTCTATGTTTATATTTATTCCGTCATTGGTTTTTCTGACAATTAATCAGCTTTTTATAGACGAAAATATGTTAACCCTATATCCCCAGTGGGTCATTTTTGACCCATCTAGAAAACCTATCTGTTTGGAGCAATAAAGCATCGAATCAAGAAGATTCATTATTATTATGTACAGCACTCAGTGTGCTATAAAGTGCTAAAGAGTTAAACTTTTTTCTCATTATCTATTAGTAAAACATTTGATTTGCAAAAACCATGTTTTTTCAATTTTTTTTGAAGAATTCAATTTATTTTTGTTTTTTTATTAGCACTAATTGATCATTTATTTTTTGACCGATTGATATATGTTACTTAAGGAATCAAATATTTATCCAGAACCTATTCACAAACTATTGAATCAATGTGTTAGAAGGCCACTCTTTGGAACAACATGGGCCAAAAGTGGCCCATTGGTATTGAATGGCATGAAAAAATGTATTTGTTTTGCAGATGATTTGTTTTCGATATAAACTCATTATTAATAATATTTTCATACTAAAAACATTTATTATGACTAGTAATTAATCAAAAACCAAGTCGTGATAGTTTTTCAATAACCTTATGTCGGAAAAAGATAGAGATCTTTGGTTTTTACTATGACTTTCTTTCTTCGCCAAAGTACCAAAACCGTGTCTCTCTCTCTCTCGTACCATACTTTTGACGTTCTCATAGTATCTTTGTATGACACATGACTGAGTGCATACATATTGAGCGTCTTTTGCATCATGTTGGTATACCTTGATAAGACTTACAGTGTTCCATGTAATTGGGCGAGAGCTCTTTCTCAATAGCTATACCCAAATAATGATATTCATAATTATCCTTATTTTGATGTTTCTTCTTTGTATGTTTTAATTCTCTCTCTGTCCCCCATTAATTCTTTCGTGTCTTGTTCTCTTTTTTACTATTTCTTGGACTTTTATCTTTTTGATGTATTCTCCTATTTTAATTGAAAATGCCAGCAATTTTGTGCTGCTACAAGATTGAATTAGAAAAGAAATTAGTTTCTCTTTTTTCTTTTTATCCAAATTAGAAAATTCTTGGTATGCAACGGAACAAAACAAAACAGCATTTTGCGACTTCTTTCTTCACCCATTTTCTCACTTCCTTTCCTGCATAAATATAGTTTGTCGCTTTAATAACGAACATTTATTCATTTGTGTCGTTCATATTTATTTAACATATATATCTAACTTACCATTTCATTTTGGTGTCGTTTCTTTATCTTGTGAGTTTTTCTATTTTATTCAATTGTATTAGCTTACCTTTTTTAAATAATGTCTCAAAATAGTAACTTAACAACTTTATCAGATTGAAATATTTTATATAATTTGGATACCGATTATGATTTGAGTGGAATTGATGCAAGTGACTTGCCTGTTTATAACTTAGCGCAATACGTAATTGTTTTAAAGACTATCATTGTAAAAATTAACAAATATATCTGACATACTAAGATTGACCTTTCTTGCTATTTTTTAATCAAATTTTGATTCTGATGAAAATAAATTATCACGTACTATTTTGAAAAATATGTTTTTTCTTGTAAACAACTCTTACGAGTAAAAGATTTATAGCTTGATATAGATAAATAAGCATGCAGTCAAGAAAATAAGTTAAAAAAATCAAATTAGTGAACAGTCAAATTTTTATGTTATTCAATACCAATGGATCATGTTTGACCCATTTTATATCTACACAGCGAAATGACTTCGCTCGAATTTAACCATAAGAAAGTCATACTGAGCACTCATATGATCTATTCCTGTAGTCGAATCAGCAACAGCTCTGCTCGGTTAGCGGTGGGTGGTGAAGGGCTAATAGAATTGATTTTACTTTTATTTTTCTTAGTTTAATTATAGTGATAGTTTTTCACCATGTTTGGAAGTGAATCGATTAACCGATTTTACTCTAATTTTCTTTGTCTTGATTTGTTTCTGTTGATAGTCGTGTTCTCGTCATTTAGGTATTTTTATATTTTTTGCAACATGTCATGAGACTAGTAAGATGAACAGATTTAATATCATTGTGTTACTGCGTTCGAACAATAATTTAGTGTTATGCGATTTTAAACTATTTCGTTAATTTAATGATCGTTTCGATATCTCTCTCGTAAACGTTCTATATGTCATAAAATAAAGGCTTTCATTAACCGCCTCCAAAACTTTCTTTAGGTTAGTGATTGCTTTGAACGCTTCTGTATAGGGCTTCATATACTCTTTTAGAAACTCTTGGTACGAATCATAATCTTCATGAACTCTCTCAAATACCTTTTTAATAATTGGTTTTAAGGTTATCTGAAAGTAGTTAAGAAATGCAGCGTATAGAAAACCCTTTAAGAGTTTATGAATATGACAAACATTTTCATATAGCCTTTCTAAAGGGTTTATGAAACTGTTTACGAAGATTTCATAAACGGTTTAAAAATATGATTTTTCATATGTAGCACTTTCATAGATCCTTTAAAGGTTTATTATTCTAGTTTTTTTTTTACAGTATGGATGTAGATGTTGATGTGCGTAAATAGAAGATCCACACCCATACCTAGTATCGAAGACTCAAATAGTTCGTTTGGATAGAGAACAGTAGTGATTGCTTGTGTCCAGAGGTATGTTAGCAGAATATAGTAAAATCTGTACTTTTCTAGAATAAACGTTGTTTTACACAAAATGATAAAGTAAATCCAAACGCCAGTTTTAACTAAATAAAGTTATGGATATTTTTTATGACAACGATCGTTCGTTATAAAAATGACTTTTTCGAAATTATAATGACGTTTAAATGTCTATTTTATATATTTTCCATTGAAAGATGAAAACGAACTAAAATTGAAAAATTGTGTAAGATATTATAATTTGTAAATTAACATATTAATAAATCTTTCAGGTTTTCATTTTCTATCTAAAAGAAATATTTGCTCATTATTATCGAGCAAAAATTCACTGAAAAGGTCTCACTTCAAACTGAAAAAGTGTAAAGACATTTTTATCATATTGACAATTTTTTGGTTATCGGAAATTCTTTGAAGCAGCTTCCTTACATTATTATCGACCATGAACTATATTTTCGTGACATTGAAATAATTGGATATGTTTAGAAAAATTCAACAGTAGTTTTGTCAAAGTTAATGAGAGAATATCATATTGAAAAATCAATATAGTCAAATAAATAGATCTGATTAGAGTTTGAGAATAATCTCGTTTGAAATCATTAAGAAAATTTTCGAGCATTCGATCTTTTGCTTTGCTAATCTGAAGCTTCTTTAAAATATTTCTTATTCTATTTTTGGTTTTCAAATGAACAATTTAAAGTATAAGGCAAAAAGGAGCATAATAAGACAACAGCGAAAAAAAATGCATTTTATGCATAGAGATACTGATTACTCGTTTCGTTTATTGACAATAAAAATTGATTTAACTTATATATATCGAAAGTTTACTCAAGTCGATTGTTCTACATCGTAAATAAACTTACGAAATCAACTACGACTAATGAACATTTTCTCAATATTCCTGTCTATATCAAAATTCACAATTGAACAAGCTAAATTTGTTGAAAAATTGAATACTTTTCTTCTATAAGAAATAAGAGCGACTTTTTTCAAAATTGTTTTAAAGTTTCTTGTAAATTGAATCTAAAACAATGTCCTTGATTTTTTTTAAATACAGATATTATTATAGAGCTCGTCGGGCTCTATTGAACGATGTCAAAATAGCACCATTCTTTTTTTATCGATCTCTGAATTTCTGGCATCTATAAAATAATTTATTATTGTGCTTAAATTTTAGTATACTTTATTCTTTTTTTTCTGATACATAAACAGTCATCATTATTTGTGGAACAATCGAACAATAATGTTATTCTTCTGTAAAATTCAATGTTTGTTGTTATACTTTATACTTGGACAATTTAACGTCAATTATGTAATATCGAGTTGGCCATCATCAAACTCTTCTAACATTTACCTGTTAGGTCTTTTTCATGATACACCAAATGTATCTAGCAGTACCAACTTGTCTGTCCATTCTCGAGCTATGTTTAAGGCAGCAGTACTGCTTTCTAATCAATATAATATAAAAATCGACGGAAATTTCATAGGATGGCAAGCAGGACAAACTAGTGGCAATATAATAGATTCGCTGAGTGATGCATGTCGTTCAGTGTCTCAATCAAATATTGTTGGTATTGTTGGTCCAGAATTATCAAGAGAAGCTACAATAACAGCTCCTTTTGGCGAGTCAATTGGTATACCTGTTATATCATATGCTGCAACTAATCCTGATTTATCTGATGAAAATGCTTATCCTAATTTTTATCGCACAGTTCCTTCGGATAATACAGCTGCAATAGCTCTGGTAAAACTATTCAATCGATTTAATTGGACATCATGTTTAATTATTTATCAAAATGATGCCTTTGGATCTGGTGGAGCCAAAGCTATAAGTGATGCATTTAATACAAGTAAATTAACAGTAACACAAATGGTTATATTTGATATTACTAAACGTGCTATTCGTGGTGATTTGAAAAATTATCTAATGAATTCTGCTTCACGAATTGTTATTTTATGGGCTGAATCAATTTATTCAACTTTGATTTTACAAGAGTCTCTTGACTTAAATGCAGTCGGTCCATATTTTACATGGATTCTAAGTTCTCGTGTTTCGTTAAATTCTTTCAATAAAACATATCAGCAAAATTTAATTGGAATGATTCTGATTGAACCAGTTGTAGGATCAGTTGTAAATGCACCATATAATTTAACATTATTAAATGACGCATATAGTATTTGGCAACAATATGAACCTGAAACATTTCCTAGCTCAATGAACGTCGATTATTATGCATTATTTGCATTTGATGCAACATGGTCATTAATTCAATCATTACAACAATTATGTTCATCAACAATAAATAATGTTTCTTCATGTTTGTCATTTGCTGCATCTTCATTCTGTTTTGATAGTCGTTTCGTTCAATCTGATTTATTGTTATCTGAACTTGATACAACAGAATTTCTTGGTGTATCTGGTCCTGTAAAATTTAGTGATAATATGACAGATCGAATAAATGGTTCATATTATTCTTTAAAAAATGTTCAACCTTCTGTAAATGGTTTGAATTTTGTATCCGTATTAGAATATTTTGATCCTGGTAATTGGAGAGTACCTATAATAGAAAATTTTATTATATGGCCAGGTAATTTATTAACACAACCTAGTGGTCAAGCAGTTCTTAAAGGTGTTACTTTACGAATTGGTATTATTGAATCAGTTCCATTTACAATAGTTCAAAGTGTTACAGATGCAAATGGGCAGAGTACAATACAGTATAGTGGATACATACCGGATCTTATTCAACTTTTACAAAATAATATAGGATTTAATTCAATTCTTCTATTAGCACCATCAAATCAAACTTATGATGAATTAGTCCAATCAGTAAATAAGAATCTTTATGATATAGTAATAGGTGATGTAACCGTTACTTCTGCACGAAGAGAATCAGTTGGCTTTTCCAATGCCATATTTGACAATTCTTTACATATTATAATGCGAAAAACACCTGATGTTAAAGTCGATCTGTTAGCATTCTTAAGACCATTTTCACGTAGTTTATGGATATTAGTCTTTGGTACTTGTATATATGCTGGTATTTTAATGTTTATTATAGAAAGAAAAGATAATGAAGATTTACAAAATCGATCAATAGTTTCTCAATTAACAATGAGTATATGGTATTGTTTTGGAAATTTGGTAGGATATGGTGTAGATTTTGATGTCAATACGGCTGCTGGACGTATTTTAACTGTTGGTTTATATATCTTAAGTTTGATATTAGTAGCGTCATATACTGCAAATTTAGCATCTGATCTTACAATAGCAAAATCACAATTTATTATTTCTGGCATTGATGATATTAAAAATAGAAAAATAGCACCGAACCGTATCGGTATTCGTGTAGGTACAGCTAGTGAAGCTTATTATTTATCAGAAATATCTGGAAACAATCGAAATTATTATGCATTACATTCTCGACAACAGCTATACGATAGTCTACTTGCGGGTATTATTGACGTATCGTTTTTGGATGAAGGAATTGCTGAATATGTGACGAATAATGTATATTGTAATTTAACTTTAGTTGGAGACGGTTTTGACGTAGGTGTCTTTGGTATTGTTACTCCTAAACAATGGCTATATGCACAAGATTTAGATGTTAATATTTTAAAATTAAGAGAATCAGGTGATCTTGATAATTTAAGACAAAAATGGTTTCAAGCAAAGAATTGTCCTGATTCAACTACAACATCAACTGCGATCGGAATTGAAGCAGTAGGTGGATTATTTATAATATTTGCAGGAATTAGCATTTTATCATTATTATTATTTATATGGATGAAACGGTATAATATTAAAAATTATTTATCAAAATTGATATGTAGAAAAGAATCTTCAACCAAAGGAAAATATTCGACGAAAAAAAACTCAAAGGAAACTTGTGAAAATCCACAAAATCATCAAATGGCATTGGCCGATTTTTCAAGTTTTTAAGCGAAAACTCTTTATCCCGAGAAAATAACTTTCATTAAACGATTAATCAATATATATTTAAACGAGTGTTGTGTACAGATTTCAGAGAACTATACCTGGTTTTGTTCATTACAAAGTTTATTAAAGGATCTTGTCGGATTTATTGACATATCTTGAACCAGCATAACACATATCTGATTTTCTATAGCGATTTTCGGTGCATCGAATGATATATAAGAAATAAAGTTTTATGAAAATATTCATATGCTATCAGTCCATAGACTCATTATAAACCTTGACATATATATATATCGTATTGATAGACATTATGCTCCTTAGAGTGTTGTAAGATAAGCTTATAAATATTTTGCTTTTATATTTAATTCGATACAATTATAGGTGCTCTTCAATTTTTTATAATCGATAGTTTTCATAATTGTTTTCTTCATACCTAAAACTAGACCTTTTCTTATGTCTCGCTTATTTCTTGACTATAATTTTATTTTTATACTTCCCTTCAGGAATCTAGCGGCTAAAAATTTTTTTTTTCGTTGATCAAGGAGTTATTGACATTAGTTTATCATGGATACTGCGCTGATTATTGATATATAAAAATGTATAATAGAACCATTGAGTATAATTAAAATATCGTTAATATATTGGCTCGATTTATTTAAAAAACAAATAGGTTATTCTAGGGAACAATCTAGCAGGCTGATAATGAGTCACTGCTGTGCCGAAAGATCTTATCTGTAAACAATATTGTGCAATCTTTGAGAAAGTTTCACATTGATATTTACTCGCTCTATGATACATAGATAAACACAATGGAATACCAAGTGGTCAAGAAATTAGCGAGACGTAAGAAAAAAAGTCAGTTTTATGTATGAAGATAGCAACGATGAAAATTATTTATTATAGAAAATTAAAGAGCATCTTCAACTCTATCACAATAGGTTTACAAACAAAATTTTTATTATTTTATCTTACAACATCTTAGAGAGCATAATGGCTGCCAGTACGATATATATCTCAAGGTTTATAATGAGTCTATGAACTGTTAGCATATGAATATTTTCATAAAACTTTATTTTTTATATACCATTTGTTGCATTATAAATTGTTCTAGAAAAACAACATATATGTCATCGTGATTAAAGATAGATGACTAAATCCGGTAAGGTCTTTTTTAATACGTCTTATAAAATTTTGTATTTTTGATTGAAAAATGATATTTCAAAAGATCAATCACGCTAAACTAAAATGTAAGTGATATATAAACATCACAAATACATCCCCCCATTCGAAATTCAAGAATAAATCCGTGACATTGTCTTAATATTTATTTAAATTGTTTTGTCTTCGTTTTATTTCATGACTTTTATAATAATACAAGATTATAAATTGTTTTACAGAAGACAGATAACATTGATCATTGTTCATATATGTACAGCGAATGTAATATGCTATAGATTCAAATTTTTCAATAATAATAATTTTGAATTCCATATGTTCAATATTTCAATTGTTTATGATAGAATTGAGAACAATCGATAAGATAAATTGTCCATAAATATTTTATTATAAATGTAAACATAGAACAAATGTATATTAATGAATGATGTTAGATTTAGATTTAAGAATGTGTGAGATGTGAGAGTGAAACTAAATAAATTCATACTCTATACTCAAATGAGCCATCTCACACCCGATATTCTTTCTTAAACGAAAAAATTCGATAGAAAAAGTCAGGTATAAATTTAGTTAATTGATTTAAAATGAATATTATTAATTAAATTATTTTCATGTTAATGTTCTCAATAAATTGAATTTGAGATAGACAAGAAAAAATGCGAAATAGTTGTGACGAAACTCAAATGAATAGTGATACATATAGATTCCATGATTGAAGTAGCAAATTTGTTTTTCTAATATGTCAATAATTTTCATCATCATAATATACCATTCATTGTACATATTTTATTTTATTAAAATGACTGATTCAATTTTCCTCAACAATACCGTTTTATTTATTAGAAATCTTGAATTAGGATATTTATTTATTTAAAAAGAGAACAAACATTAATTCTATCGAGTCTTACGATTCGTATTTCAAATCAATTAGATTTAACTAACTAAATTGTATTCAACACACGAAACTCTACTTTCCGTTTATACTCTTATTTTTCTTGTTTCTCAAATCTACTATTCCATGAAAAGTATATCACAATAATGCGAGATTTAGACGTGTAAATCACATTACCCTACACATTTTACAGGAGAAATTTTCCTGAATAGAGTTGTTTAAAGATCTGTTGAAATAAATAAATATGTTAATTATCTCTGTTGAAGAAAGTCCATCTATTTCAATATTGAATATCGTCTTTTAGCAATATTTAAATACTCAGTGTCGAATACAATAGTAATATTTGAATGTCTGTCATTACTATTTAGTTTGTTAAAACATTTGATGTTATACATATATATGATATCATAGAAAATGGTTCAAACCTTTTTACTGCAATAATTCATTTATTTTGAAGTTTTTAAGTCATAATTCGTTCTTTTGTGTAGTCGAACATTTCTCGATTGTTAATGTAAATGCAATAGATAATATCTCTTCATGGAATAAATAAAATCGAGAAAATATAGAAAAAACAGATGTTTGACGTTGCTTTAAAATTTTCAATTAAAATTAAAATTAAATGTTAAATCTTTATTGTGTATTGACTATTTTGATCAGGATATAATTGTAGACAAAAATCAAACTTTCTCTTCAAATATTTCTTTCACTTTTGTAATATTTGTTTTTTTTTTCTGACATAAAAACAGGGTTCCGTTGATTTTTTGGCAGATTTGATAATCAGCTGAAAATTAACACAATAACAACTTTGATTCTCTTTTGATAATATTCTCAATGATTCTCTGTGCTTTCTGTTTGAGTTCTTCAAGGATAGAAATTTCAATCGTTTATCATATCTAACAGTTTTATTGTTAGTCTAGCTTTGATCTGCTGTACTATTCTATGATCTTTTATTAAGTATGAATAAAGCAGTTATAGTAACAGATTCAACAAATGATATTTAACTCGGATTGCTGATAGTAATTCTCAATAACTTGCTTTAACTCTTACTCTTAGTTTATCTATGTTGTTGGCTTCAGTAGTTTAACCATATTCAGTTGTTGTTTTTGTTATCAACAACACGAAATTTTTACTTAATCAACTTTTATGAAGTTTATGAAAACAAAAAAAACGATGAGTTTTTCAGTGTGATTATATTGTCTTGACATATACATTATTGTCAGAAATTTCTTTCATTTTAGCAGTACGATTAAGTAAATATCTTTACTTCTTTGACAAATAAGGTTTTTATTTTTCGAGAGTTTGAAAAATTCAGCTTTTTAAATAGTTATTATTCACTGTTTTTAATGCTAAACTTTATTATTGCTACCATAATCATAAAAAGTCTAATCAAAATTTTCCAACAGCACAGTAGATGATAGAAGTCATCGAACTCAATTGCTTGATTGTTATCAACAATATATTAATGATGATCATAATGTCACGCAAATAATCAGCAAAAACTTTCAAATGATAAGTGTCAACTATTATAAGAATATTTATTTACATCTATATCATTCTCTGATCATGAATTCAATTCAATGAATGTAATAAAAGTTTTACTTTTACCTTATTTGTCTTTCATCTTCTAGTTAATAACATTCAATATACAAAAATTATTCATCAAAAAATGCGAACGTAGTGAAAAAACAATAAAAATCTTAGGTGCGCTGTAGACATTAATTTTTGAATGATAATATTAGAGAACAGACTTTTTTAATGAACATTCATCATTTTTTATTATATATCATTTTTCTGCTTTTGAAAAATAATCTGTTTAATATAAGTAGAGAATGTTTCAAGAGAATATATGTTTTATCTATTTTTAAAATAGACAATCCTATCGATACATTTCTTTTGTAGAGAACCATGGCGTCTAATTATTTGACTGTGATTGAAAGGTAGTATGTCTGTAAAACTACAAGTTGGTTTTATTTATATTTTATATAGTTCCATGATAGCTTTATAGTGTGTACAATGATCCTGAAAAATAGCCGAGAATAATTAACGTAAATACAAGTTCATTACCAACCAATGTTACTTAATATCATAAGTTACTGTCTGTGTGCAAGAATAAATAACTGGTGTATACAATCGAATGCACTTACAATCATTCTTCATAGCTACGCAACAATAAGTGTAGTCAGTGGCCGTGTCAAAGTTCAAGGATCGAGAGTGTTGAAAGAGGGTTTATAGTAAAATGTCTCACAACGACCATAAACGATTTCAAAAGCATTGTTGATTTAATTAGGTGATAACGAGTTATTTTCAATTATTTGAAGAAGGAGCGTACATCCTTACTTTCATAGTCTAGAGCTGCAGTTTGCTTTTTAAATGGTTATACAAAACGTTTAATTGAAATTCAACGATGAATAGTCTTCAAAATAAGAGAAAAACAGGAGATACTCATTAACGAAAGATTCAAAAATGTAAAGTCTTTTTAATTGATCAATCAAGTTGGGTTGGTTCTAATTGAAAAAGACAGTAAAAAAATGAATTAAACAACTTTAATTATTGATAAAGTAATACACTTTCTTTGAAAGAATAATTAGAAAGTATATACTTGGGAATTACATGAAAAGTTTATTTAACTAACTAGCTGTTTTTTTTTGTTTCAATAAAGTTACTTGAACATATTCATTGGTGGTACTATCCCATTATATTTTGCTCCACAATAATAGTGATGAAAACCATCTTTTGCAATTCCCTGACCTAGTGTTTCAAATGAAAGTACTGAAGCACCGGCCAATTTTTGACCCATGTAATAAACATGCCATGAATCTTTTGCATAACCATCCCTTAATACCTCAAATGTCGTTGCTGATGCGCCTTCAATTTTTCGTCCAGCAAAATAAACAGACCATGGATCTTTGGCATAACCAAAAGCAAGTGGTACTATGATTGACATTACTAATCGTAGAAAATGAGTAGGAACTATTTCTATTATCTAAAATAACTATAACAGAATCAATGTCAAAGAGTCTACTTTTGTCAACATCGATTCAGGATACAATTTTCAAACATATGAATAAAACGAAAAATGATCGACCATATATAAATATGTGTTCTCTTTGCAACGATTTTATCCTGTTGTTCGCTAAAATCATCGCTTGTTATGGACATCTATTGAAAAATATGAATGATTCCGATGCATTGATTAATATACCATGAATAATCAAGAACACAAAAAACGAACGAAATGAAACTTTATTGACGTCATGAAAAGATTGGCCTTGATATGTAGTGCGATGAAAATTATAAATTTCTAAGCAATGTTTGTCAAAGCAATTGATTCATCTATTTAAGTTAAAGTATTAGTTTGCTTCATTGATGTCATTGATTTTGTAGAGGTTTTTATGTTGAAGATATATATCAAGTCGAAATAGAAACAAGCCAAAAGTATCGAATTCAAAGAATCAACTGTTAGAGAATAAATATTCTCAAGTATTGTATCTTTTCATGAAATTTCATTTTCTCATACACAATAAAAATTGTGGTAAATATTGTTTCGTTTATAGAGAATATCCGTCAGAACTCATGAATATGTAAGATAGACTATATTAAATCATATTAAAATTATTGTCTCCCTTCAATTGTAATGTCGTCGAGATAAGCAGTGATGACGCATAACAGCAACTCTTGTCGGTCTCGTGTTTTGTTTTTCTCTTCTTCTACTGACTCATTGACTAACAATGATTGTATACGTGGCGTTTTACTGTGAAAACTTCGACTATATATATATACGTCGCAGGAATCTTCACAGAGTATCTATTTTTTCCGAACTATCAACTTTAAAATAAAAAATAAATGGCTTCTAGCACAGCATTTCCAGATTCTAACGGCTACACAAAATCATTTTCTTTTGAAGAAACATCTGAACTTTTGAAATTCTTCGAAGAGTATGGATTTGTCGTCGTACGAAATATCATCGAATCTAAATCGCAAATCGAAGAAACCATTGATGAAATTTGGAGTTTGCTAGGAGTTCTTAATCCAAAAATTGACAAAAATGATAGTTCAACATGGGATAATAAGTACTGGCCAATTCAATTGGGTCTCAAAGATGGTGAGTACACAAATTGCTATATCATTATTGTTAACACGAAATTTTTGCTAACGTTAAAGGTGGTTTCATATCACACATGTCGGACGTTGCAATAAAAATGTGCTGGGAAAATAGACAACATCCTAATATTGTTCGATTATTTCAAATTATTCTTAAACAAGATGATCTTTGGGTTAGATATGATCGTTATGGAATGATGAGACCTACCAAAGGTATTGCTTTTAAACAGAACGATAATGATGGATCAGTAATATTCGAAGATAAATCTGAATGGAGATCAAAACCCAATTGGTAAGAAATAATGGAAGATGAATGAGATAGACAAGTCACTTGTCTATGATAAAGATTGTTGTACGAAAATAATGTCTGATGGCTTAACAGAAGTTATCAGAGACTTTCACTAAGTTAAGGGAAAATTTGAGTAAATTGTCTTTATCCTTATGTCTTCATACGTTAAAAATGATAGAATTTGTTTTTATAATTCTTGCTTTTAATTTGATTTTAAGTTACGAAATATATCTTGCAAATTTAACTAATTAGAAGCCTTTTAATTTCTATTTCTATTACAGGTTACATTGGGATCAGGTAAGAATAAATAAATTCTATTGAAGCAATGCAGATATTTTTAATAAAAATGATCACTTGATTTATGTTCAAAGAATCCTTGGAGATATCCAGATTTTATTGGTGTACAAGGTCTTCTCGCATTGAGTGACACAAATCCAAATACGGGAGGTATGTTCTCTGCCAAAAAAGAAGTAACTATTTCATTTTCTTTTGTCTTCTTGAAAAAATCAGGATTTCATTGTGTTCCTGGATTTACTCATCGTTTTAAACAATGGTCAATCGATAATGAAAAGGAACATAAGTGCCGTGGAGGACTTGTTAACGTTCCTGAAGGTGATCCCATTCGAAATGAAATAAAACAAATTCATGTTCAAAAAGGTTCTTTCATTGTATGGGATTCACGATTACCTCACGGTAGGTTTCATATGTATTTCATTCAAAAAACATTGACATTTTTTTGTCAAAAAATTTTATTTAGGCAATTTTCCGAATGAGAGTGATCAATTTCGAATTGTTCAATATATAACATTTCAACCGGCTAAAGAAGATGACAAGCGTGAATTAACAAGTCGAATCGATGCTTTTCATATGCGTACATTAAGTTCGAAAGTTGATGAACAACTCGATGGATTTCCAGAGCCACAACTAACCGAACTTGGAGAAAAAATTGTTGGACTGAGAAGTTGGAAAACAAATGAGCGGATCAAAAGTTCTTTTGAATGATGAACTTATTCTTAATTTTCAAAGTTTAACAATAAAATATTTTCTATGAAACTGATAGTAAACAAGACTCGATTTAACATTATGTAATATAGAACTGCAATTTTTAAGCATCATATATCAAGAATTGTATAATTGATTTCACATCAACAGAAAAGGTAATAAATCTTTTGAAACGAATATAATAAATAATATATTTTAATCTAAACAGATTTTTTACTATTACGGTTATTGTATACATTTACTGTGAGCCCATAGATTTTGAGTACCTGTCAAATAATGCAACATTGAGTGTATCTTCAGTACAGTTCAAAAAATTGTACATACAACAACCATTTATTAAATCACATATATATCAAAAACTAGACGAAACCTTGCGATGCTTCTTTGCAAATAACAAACGACTCTTAACATATCAAATAAGGAACAGTTAGTAAAAAAAATTCTAATAACATTTTCATCGGTGTGCTGGAAAAATGTCGAAAGGAAAAATGTCGAAAAAAGAAAAAACGAAGAAAAAACATCGAAAGGAAAAATATCGAAAGGAAAAATACCGAAAGGAAAAATGTCGAAAGGAAAAATGTCGAAACGTACATATTAAAGCGAAAAAAATGTCGAAAGTGAAAAATAAAAAAATAATGATGTCTCCAGTATATGGCGATTCTAATCCCATTTAGCTCATTGTTTTTTCTTATAATTTTACTAGTGTAGAATTTTAGCCAGTATTGATAGGGATGACTAACTATTAATACAACAAGTAAAATGAAAGAGTTAAACAAAGAATTATTANAACAAACCAAATCATATTTTATTTAGCCGTATTTTAAAGAAGTCAAAGCGAATTAACGTTTAAGTTGTTTAAAAATTTCTTAATAAATTAATTTATATATATATATATATGTTTCTTTATAGTGTTGAATCTTTTATTTATGTATTGGCTGAAGAACCATTCATTTTTCTCTTGATTGCAGTATAATATTAACTTCATGACTAATGAACAAATATCTTCTAAAAAAAACTATTCTAAATGTCAATAGAAGCAAAGCTTCAGATAATCTATTAAATAAAGTAACCTTTCGATTCATTATAAGATATTTTTATTTGATCGAGAGAGATTTCTCGAGAAGATAACGTTGTGTCGCATTGCATACATGTGTTTTCTTCTGTATGATTTTAATAACGCTTATGTCTGCTTTTAATATTATTTATGACATAGACAAATATATCGATATTGATATTACATATTGTTATTGTCATTAGATCAATTGAAAGACAAATGAATTCTAATGAATTTTATTGGACCTCTAGATTTCACTGTTGAATTCGCAATGGTGCACAGCGATCTATAAAAACAACTATGCTGAAGAATAATCACAATAGGCATTGTATACTATGGTCACAGTTCACCTTTTTTTTTTGAATTCAACACTTTTAGTATAAATATTATTACATTTCAATTTATAGAGAAAGATTTGTAATGCAAAAGATAGTATACATTGTAGAGATTACTTTATTATGAACGTTGAAAAATATTGATTCATAGTCATTCTTTTTTATGGTATGACAATATTATATGTAGCACAATTTCAATTGATCTTTTTTATGTGTTATTGTTTATTCTAGTAGAAAATTTTCTCATCGAAATTTTGATAAGATTTGACATATGAAGAGTCAAGAAATGTCGATAGAAAAATGTTATGGTTATATTTAATAGAATATTTTCAAAAAAAAATAGTATTCGATTATTGTGAATAATAATCAGTACTAATCGTTATCCTCAACAAAAAAAGAATACAAATAATGAGAACAGCTGAACATTTGCTAATCAAACAACAAAACAGATCGACATAAATTTCATTACCTCATTTTGATTTTAATTCGATGAATATAACAAAAACATGATTTTTTAACCGTTTCTAAATAATATTTTCAGCAATAATCTTCGGTGTATAAGAAATGCTTCTGTATAGAAAACTCTTTAAACTACACACAAATTTTTCATAGATTAATATTTAAGAAATCAAACTTTTCTTATATACATTTATTAAATTTCTTTTTTACAGTATTTTTAAAAGAAGTTCACGAATTTTTTATAATATTTATCTGGATTATAACAGAGCATTATGATCAAAGTATGATGAAAAGAAAAAGCTGTTAACGCAATGCTTGTGGGGTTAAAATGTGAATCACGATGTTACTACTGTTGTTAATCACACGGGAACTGTTTTATTTATTCTATTTTGGAACACATTTCTTCACCATCCTGGTGGTATTCAATTATCGATAAATGTAATAAGGAACTAGTTCAGAGATTATAACGAGACGTTATTCATATACTATCTATGGCTGGCGTCTGTCATGGTCTATGACGCCGAGGAAGGAATGTGTTACTAAGGCGTCTGTAATGACTCGTTAACAAGAACTCTGCCACGTGTTTGAAGGGTCCAAACTTCTACCTCTATATTTTAACATTTGTTTTAGATTGTGTTTCACAAAAATTAACAATAAAAGTAATTCAGAACGAGATGGATGCCATTGATCGTTAATTGATTTATTTTCAAATCTGACATTATCTAAAATAGATCTAATCTGTCTTGTTTTCAAAAAAGATTTATCATTTAAAACATCTCATTTGTATTCCAATAGTATTAGCTATGTACTATGTGACCATGACTGATTTCTTACTAGAGATGCTTGGGAACAAGCTGTTTTAGTCTCGGTCGTAATAATTCTGCTACTTTGAGATGTGCTCCTGGTCTTTACCCCAATCTAGAAGAAATTATTCCAAAATTTCTGAACATCAAATGTTAAAACGTCTTAAATACATGGTTTTTGATTCTTCTCTAAAGCATTTGTTTTGACGGGTATTTTAAAATAAGATAATTCAATCAAAACAAGAGAACATTTAACTGAAATATTTAGTCACGAGCCCATTCTCGTTAACGTCTTCTCGTCATTCTAGCATTGGTCCGTCGAAATGGCTGTTTGATCTGAATAGATTTTCAAATTCTGTTTCTGCACGTCTCAATTTGTGGTAGATGCAAGAAAAATAAATATTAATAAAAAAATTGAAATGACGTTCTAAATGTAAATTTTGTTTCATAACATATTGAAATCTAATCGAAAAAAAATTCAATTATTTGCCATTAAATTCGAGGTTCTATGTTTTCTCAATCGAATTTGTTTTTTTTTGAACAAAAACAAATATATAAATCATAAAAACAAAATATCTAGGTAGTAAAATCACAATTTCAAAGCACTGATTTACTATTTAAATTCATTTTAACGTTTTGATTTTAAGAAGTTGACATATATAAATAATAACGTGATGTTTTTTTAATGATTTTTGCCATTTAATCTTCTTTTGTGATTTTACTCAATAAAATATTTAATAGAGATACCATATTTTGAGTAATAAAGAATTCTTTTAACAATTAATGTTAAGTATTGCTTGAAAAGCATATGAGATTTAATTTGTTGAATATTTAATGATATTGAAGTCGTCGTTCATAAATAAATAATGATATATCGACATTAATTCACTTTTGAATATAATTATAATAAAACCCTTTATGTCAACTCAATTAATTATTTTCTTTTTTACTTTTTATTTATTGAAGAAACACCACAACATTTCATTGTATTTCAGATTATTTGCTAAGAAAAAAAGTGTGTTGTACATAGTTTAATCAAAACTATATATAATTGAACTTGAATTCGGAAAAAAATCACTTGACGTCATATTTTGTAAACATAAACAATGAACAACACTTATTAGCATCTATTAGATTATTTATAGGTGTATGTATAACTGATAAAAGTGATGAAATTCAATGATCTATTATTTAATTCTATCTTATTTTTAGAAAAATGAATTCCATCATATTGATTATAATCATATATATTTTAACAATTTTTCATTTTTTCTTTATTGAATCAAGTCATTTCTCTGGTGGAACTGTAACATGGAAAACTATAGATAATACAACAACTGGTCCAATAATTCCTATAATGTTTACACAATTATATCAATGGTGGCTATTGCAATCAATCTTATGTTTTGAATTAATCACCTCTAATTCTAACAATTGGAGGTACACTTAATTGTATTATATCTCCATCTACTTCGTGTGATGGTTATAATGCACTTAATATCTATGAATATTGTACTGACTTTAGAACATTCCTTGATTCAAGTTCAGGTTTAATTTCGACAGTTGATAATATTATAATTGGCTCGAAATTTTGTGTTGCATTTCAAAGTAATAGTTGGATTGGTCTACGAACAGTAAAGTGTGTGACAAGTGGTGATGCCGGTGCCTCGAATACTACTACTATATCAACAACAACTGTAGCTAGTTGTTATAATAGTGCTGCTATCTAGTTGATCGGTTGTCGTCTTGGTTTATCGATTAGATTAGATGGATTTATCAATACACCACCAGTTGCAACAGTTATCTCGCGTATGTTATATACACAAAATTATCTTTAGAATGCACTCAATTTTGCAGTCTGTTTTTTTACAGTTCTTGAAAACGAATAGAAACTTATCTGATTACTGTTGATATACATAATCAAAATTATTCTTTTGAAAAAGGAAAAAGTCTATATCCTACTTTTTAATGAGTAACAATGTTTCGCTGCTTTAGTAATTTAACAAGAAAAAGGCTTCGTATATGTGATTATTGAAGCTCAGAATTTATAATTTCATGATTAAAATTTATTGTATCAGTCCGTATAAACATATGATAAGGATAGACTGAAAAAATAACCTAAAAACTAAAATATAAATCTAAAGTGTACACTCAATGTAATTCTTGTTTCTTCATTTAAATAAATAATTTTTTTAATAATGTTTCTTTCTCTAGCGATAAACGTACCTGTTAATACTCAAACAAATATTAAGATTGATTATTTCAAATTCAGCTGTCGTTTGGCTCAGAAAAATTCATCATTTGATGAATGTGCTAAGGTCTGTGGTATAGCATCTGGTAGTAAACTCAACAAAAATGACTGCACATTAACATTCAAGAATGCAGGCACAACTGTTGAACAATATTATCCTATTGCTTTAATGATTGAAGATTTTTATACAGAATCATCATATTCATCATTTAGTAATATTCCTGTGCAAGTTCTGATTAAAATTGTTAGCAAACTAAGTTGCTATACACAACCGATGGTTAGTTTTAATTTATCAAATTGTACTGCTATTAGTGTTGGAGTTCAATTTAATTTCACATTGGCAATCCAGCAAGGATGTTCGAACACAACAATAGTAGATGTATTTAGAACGTCACCTTCAAAATATGAAAAAAAATGATTTAATACAAGTTGGATCGACTAATCTATGGATTATTACTGAATCATGGACAGCAACTGTTGATCAAATTGAATCTCAAGTTTATAGTGCTATTGCAGCTGATAGGTTTTATACAATCATATTCCGTTGAAATTTTTTTAACGATTTATTTCTTCTTAGTAATAATATACAATCAGATCAATATTGCACGACATTTACGGTTGTATCCCTTGGACAAGCACTTAACTGTAAGTATAAGATAATAAATGTCTTTACATTTTGAAATGGAACAGTACAACAGTGTAAGTTTATCGGTAATGAAAAACAATGATGAAAAAAAATTGTGTTTTATTTTCTATTTCATTTTTTTTCTGATAGAACTTCAACTACTTCTACGTATGAATATATCAAGAATATTTGACAATTATCTTATTATATTGATCTTATATTTTTAGAAGTACAACTGCAACTACTAGTACTACAACATTAGCGTAAGTTTTATATTTTTTATAATAAAAAAAAATTTTGAAATAAAGTACAACATCAACTTCTGTAACAACAATATCATCAACAATAAATACAAACCAATCATTGATAGTAACAGGCTTATTATAATTATATTATTATTATATAGACTCTTCGTCTTTGACAAATCGGGTTTTTTTCAACACAATTGTAATGCCTGTTTATGTAGCCGACAACTCGGGATTAAATAGTTTGAGTCTTGAACTTATTCTTGGTTTGGATTTACTGCTATTATTACTATTAATTACCTTGACATTTTTCTGTTGTTGTTACGAACATTGTAAATTTCTCAGGTACTATTAATCTGTTTTATGTTTAAGAATTAGACTTTATATTTATTCTACTAAACCAGTTGATGAATTTATTTCTATGATTTTATATTCATATTAATCATTGGATAAGATTCTTCTATAATAATACAAAAATTGTGATAAGTTTTAAAAATGTTGAAATATTTCCGTCGATATGTTAAACGTAATCGAAATGTTCATCAGCAGGTAATATAATTTGAATAATTATACGAAAATTAATTTATCTAATTCAGGATAACTTACCTGACTATCATCATCAATATATAAATGATAATAATATTCTGCATAAAAAGTATCAATCAAAATTGTCTCATGAAACAGAACCGTTTGCAAAATATAACTTAAATCCTTCAATGTCACTTTCTGATATTCAAACAAATTATATGAATATAACATGAACTTCACTTCTTTCACCTTCTTCCTACAGTCTTTCGAATGATGATGTTCAATATACAAGAAATAATTCATCGCGAAGTACGAAATCAATGCAAAACAATTCGATCCTTATGCATTCTTATTTTGTACAAGAAAGCCGAAAAAGTCTTTACACATCATAAATTTATCCGACTACAAAATACTTATATTTCAATCAACAAAAGAATTTCAAAGTAAATGTGCAGTGAATGAACTTGATCCACAATTAAATTAATTTATGATAGAATGACTTACGATTAATTGTATAAAAAAACATATTATAATTTTAATATATAATAGTATAGAAAACATATTTCGTACCTTTTAAAATATTCAATAAATCTTTCCAGAAAAAGCTTCTGAATCCTTTCTTTACATCTTTGTTCATATATATGACTAAAATCATGACTAAACACAAACTAAGGAAGAAGAAAAGAATGGATGTATCAAAAGTACATACTAACAATCAAATCCCTGTGTTAATGATCTAAAAATAGAGAAAAAAAAGGATTAGTCGAAATAAGAAGTCTTTTTTCGAGTCCAATCTCTTTTGTTTAATTAAACATGCAATGATTTTAACTAGGAACAATCTATCAAATAAACATAACCTGTACTATTGTTTGAAGAGAAATAACAATATTTAATCTTGTCAATAGAAAAATTTGATAAAATCTCAGTGAAAAAATTCTCGTTCGAATTTTTACATCACAGTCAAGATCATTCCTATATTAATCTTTATTATTTGAGTTTATTAATAATTAAGAGTAGGAAATATATCAGATAAAGCTGCTATACAAAAGTCTAGTACATACATATAGTTAGCTATAAATCAAGTGAAATAATGAAAATATATTCAATACGAAGAAACTATACCAACATAAATGATGACTGCAATGAACTCATGTGCATACCAATAGAATTAACGTATACATATTTTCTAACACAGCAAAATAGAGTGTAAGTTGTCATTGTGTATGGACTCATCTAATAAGTCATTAGCCACTCTTATCCATTACTAAATTGAAAATTAAACGATTATTCACTTGCATGAGTTCAAGAAGATATCCAATTTGTTAGACCCTTTGTTGGCTATAGTTACTTATTAATATTGTTAGAGTAGTAATTAATCACTGCTATATAAATATGTTTATCATTATTGAAATGACACAATATAATCGAACTTGGTTGCTTGACAATTCGATATAGACTATGAGTTTGAGAAGTTCCATTCTCATTGTCACCCATCATACTAATGCTGTTTTCATCTTGATTGATCATCACTAGATCTGTCATACTATTTAGTCCACTTTTATATAGTGTGAAAAAAACATTATTTCATGAGTCTCTTTGATATTGATACTTCGTAACTACTTAGTATATATCACATATATATAGATCCTCATGACGAACATTATTTGAAATTATTCGTTGATGACAATGATCAAGTATCGATTATATATATGTATAATTTTATAGATTTTATAGAGATTTATTCAATGAGATAGAAGTATTTATTAACAAAAACCAGTAAGAGTATGTTATTACCTTCAAAATGCTGTTTACCTTTCTATATAACGTGATATATTAGTGTATTAGATGGATTATAGCATAGAAAGGAATTTTATTGTTTATAGATAATGACTTTTACGATCTAACAACTTGAATTTTATTCTAAAAAAAAACACAAAATCAACAAAATTATATCAAAATCTTATTAGAAAAATAATTATGTATTCATAGATGACACATGAAATCCGGAGCCTTGAAAGTAGAAGCTCTACCTTAATTGAAAATGATTCGTTATCGCCAAGTTAAATTAGCAAGATTGTTTTTTAATTTTTATTATTTCTACAAAATATTTTCTTAAACACCCTCTGATCTGATATCCCCAATCCTGGAGCCTTGATGCAACCTCTAGATGACAGCTGATGAAAAAGATTCTACCACCTTCTGTATTCCTGATTCTTTTCTCTTGGTTTCATTTATTTTTCAGCAGCTGGAACGACACGATTTCTTCTATTGTGGTGCTTGTTGTCAACGGAGTTTTCAGAATTAATAAGAACGAATATGTCTGTTGTTTATTACGAATCTTGTTTGCTGTTGAATACGAAGAATAATGACGAAAAAATCTAGCAAAACTCCACGAATTAATACCGCGAAGAAAAAGAGATGGCTAACTTTAAACATAATAGAAATTTCTTTAATAAGTTTTAATGATCTTGCTTACGTTGAGACCCAACAAAAGAAAATGATTTTGATGTAAAACCATGATTTTTTTTCATAGTTTAAATTAACTAAACTTATAACTGTAGCCATTTTCATCGTTCTTTTTCGTTAAATAATATTAAAAAACAATAGAATAAACTGATAATCACTTATAGCTCGTCTTTGTAATTGAATTGATCTAGTTTTTAAATTCTTCACAAATTATATCCGTTAAATCTTTTTTCTTATTGATTCTCTTTCAAAATGCACTCGTTTTCTATAACGTGCCTTGACATGTGATGAGATTGTTTTTTTTTCTTTTACTATAAATCCAATGCTTTCTTCTCTAAAGAAAGAAAAACTATTTGTATTAAAAGACTAGTCATGAGAAAAGCCTGGTGATATTTGTGAATCCGCAAATACAGCAAATCATGCTTTTTCTAGAGGTGAAAAAGATTCCCAAACAATGGAGAAACTTAAGCAAAATTTTGACCAACAAAAAGATCCATTCAACAAGAAACCTGAAAAAAAGCAATAATTCAACGAAAGAAATTTTATTATTTTTATCCTTGCAGTTTTTTTTCGCTCAAATTGTTATTTTTTGTTATCGTAATTTAACAATAGAATAAACTTTAAAAACATATGAATGTTCTTTTTTTGTTTATAAATTTATAAAATTACAAATTTTAGGGATGATAATCAATTTATTTCAAAATTTCGAATTAATATAAAATAATTTTTCACTTTTTTGAATGCATTCATATGAGTATATGAATATATTTATGAAATTTAATATTCAATCCTATTTAAAGACAGAATATTTTCACGTTTTGATGATTTTTGTATCCTTTTTCTTCGTCTATGAAATGATTAATCAATATAAAACTATTTGAACTGCTTGCTTTGTGTCTATATTAATGTCAATAATTGATAAGGTTAAATCATTGACAAATACATGATGATAGTAGATTATTAGGACTGATTATTCATATATAAAGAAGAACATAAATGATGAGAACAGAGGTTATCTATCTCAATATAGTTATTCATTCTTGTCTCAATATAAATATACTCCAATAACTCTCGGTTCTCCGTCCTTGAACATAATGACATATTCATCTCTTTTACAATATACATCTATTTACAATTCTATGACTTGTTTTTTTATTTGTTTGTCTGTGTTACGTGGAAACAACAACGATAACTCGATACAAAAGACAATCGAGATATTTGCTTTTATTTCCATCATCCTCTAATCATAGCTAATGATATAATATAGTAGCAGCAGTGTGAACTAATCTCAAATAAACATGCTATTTCTCTATATAGTTTAGTTAAAAATAAACGAGACATAAAAAGAAAAAATGAAGAATTTTAAAAAATCTATGTTATATATTAACATTATTCTATCATCCTTATAAATCATAAACTTCGAAACATTATTTTTCATGGAAGATTTTTCAAATAGATAAAACAGTAGTTAATTGAGATAGAAATGATCAATATTTCACATTGAAATATTGAATGTATATATATTATATGAATATTTATTTATAAATTTTAGTTAAAGAAAAATGTTATCGAGAAAAGATGATCAAACTAATAAAAAATCAGCTTTTTCTGCAAGAGAAAAACGAAATATTATAATTTATATAGTTGGTATTATTATTTACAAATTTGGCTTAGAAGCATTTAATGGATCTATAATGACTCTTGCTACAAATCGTTATGATCAAGATGCTTTAAAAGGACGAACAGCTCCACATACATTTGAACGAGTTGGATTACTTTTTGGTTTAAATCAAGCATCACAATGTTTTGGTTCTTTACTCATTTCTCCTCTTATTAAACATTGGCCTTCTCGAACCATTTTATCAATAGCAATATTTATTTTTGCATTATTTACTGCCATGTTAATTATTCTTGATGTTGCTACTGGTGGATATATAAAACCAAAAAATTTTAATTCAACAAATAAAAATGATTTTAGTTATTATGGTCATTATAAAGCTGATTGGATAATAGTTATTTTTACTACATCTGGCATTGCTTATGGAACAGTCGAATCGACTCATCGAGTTATTCCAAGAGATTTAGTTGGTCACGATATTCAAAAACTACAAAGGTTTGATGCATTAGTTCATATTTTTTATGCTACATCTGGTGCTATTGGCGCATTTGTTACTGGTCTTATCTTAATTCCAAATCTTGGAAATAATCAATCTTTTATAATAACACCAATATTATTTACTGCAGCAGGAATGATATGGCTATTCATGAGTTCTTCTAAGACGAAAAAGAGCAAACAAAAAGATCAAGTTATTGGAAATAGTAAAAAATTCAAATCAAATTATTTAAAAATAATTATTAGAAAATTAATCGCTTTTGGACAATCTTTTTATATTGGTGGAAAAATTATTTTTACAAGTCGAAAATATATTTGGTTATTTAGTTGTTATTCACTGACGCTTTATGCTCATCGATATCTTGAAGATGGTATTGCTCCACAAGTTGCTAGACGATATTTAGACAATGCTACTTGGTCAGAAATTATTGTTGGTGGATCAAATTTTGGAGAATTATTAGGTGCTTTTCTCATATTATTTTTATCTAATTCAATTCGAAATCCAATACCTTGGCTACGATTAAGTACATTAGCATTGATTATCATTTGGTATATTCCATATTATTATCCTCCCATGAATAATATCAAATATGCTTGGATTATTGCTATAACATTTATGCCAATATCATTTGGATGGTCTGCTAGTGATATAACACTTGCCGCTCATATACAATCGACTATGACACGTCTTGAACCGATGTACGAAGATATTTCAGTTTTAGGAGCTGTTATGTCATTTCTATATTCATCTTATATTATTATTTATTCTTTTGCAAATCCATTTCTTGGAAAATATATTGATAGTATTTATAAGTCTCACGGAACTATAAGACCAGCGTTAATTTATACTGTTGGTGTTCAATTTACTTTAATCATGCTTATTGTTGTAGCATCTACTTTTATTCCATCAGGTACTTTTTTATGGAATCCTAAAATAGATGATCAAGAAGAAGATTTATCGGAAGACGATGAAAATTCAGATGCATTAATCGATAATAATCATCCCTCCATAAAATCTATCAAAGGTTGAACAAGACTTTTTAAAAGAAGAATATTTTTAAATGATTAATCCTGTTTGTTCTTGATGACATTCATTTTCATGTTTTATTTTTAAAAAAAAGTTTGTCTCCTTGCATAATGTAATATGTGTGAAATGTGTGTTTTTAGAACCTTACGAATGAACTTTTTAAAGATTGTGATTATTGTAATACACTTTTAAATTCAATTTCAGTAAACGTATGATTATTATTATGAAAGAAGAAACATATATTTTATTTTTTATTACTAATGTTTTTCTTTTCTTTTTATTGTTGATAACTTTTATCTTTTATTTAATGAGAATCAAAAAGCGGCAGATTATTCAATTCTTAACTTTATTTTCAGTTTCTGATTGATTTAATAGAAACAATAATCATGTTAACATTTAACTTAACCGTGAAAATTCTATGAAACGAACTGAAATAAATATTTTCATGTCAATTTAAATAAATTTTTATTTTTGTCAATATTTTAGTTTTTATTTGAGAAATAAATAATAAATTACATTCTTCTATTTGAAACATCTTCCACAATAATTCACAATAACTTACATCAGATGACTAGATGTTTTTTTTCCTAATAATCTTTTCGAGATAAACCGTTTGATTTACGTAGTTTTCAAGTGAATCTTTGTCAGTTAAATGAGAAAATATCCGCCATACCTACGAATTGAACACGGTTAACTAAACAAATTACTATTCTAAACTTTCTTCTCATTTTTTGTTGCTGAACTTGGAGAAGGAAGGAAAGAAGGAAAATATCCAAGTAAAATTGAGAAAATTGTAAGCAAAGAAAACATCTTCACAATACTTCTTTAGGTCGTGCTCCACTACTCTGCAGCAATATCAACTTGCACAGTGATCTTTCAAATATTTTTCAGACATCTGTTCACAGGGAGTTTAAGCAAAATCTTACTAGTGCAAGTAAGTCCAAGATGTTTAAAGAAGTTTCGTATTGTTATCTTCTGATTTAACATATCAGTATAAACTATAGACTTCTTAATTTCGGGATAAAAAAAAATCTGTGCTATATTCTCACCTATTAATATGAGTATATTTTTGTATGTGAATGAGATTAGCAGTTAGCAGACTTTTTGTAACATAACCGAATACTTCCTGATATTTTTATAATGAGAACATGAACTAAAAACTCTTGTCCATTTAGATTTTGAGACAATCAATTAGAAGTAGACGAAAAAAAGAAAAACTTGAAATTTCAAAATAGAAAATCTTTAGTTTAAATCGAATTTGTATTTCTATGACTGTCTAAAGTTTCGTGATCATAATCATTAGATTTAGCATGACTAAAAACCTTTACTGTACGATAAGAAAGCATGGTCTCAATATTTAGAATAAGAATTTTGCCAGTTAGAAACTTTATAGCTCATATTTATGAATCGTTAAAGCCATGAAAATCGATATAAACAAGTACAATTGTTTAGCTACAATGGTCTCAAAGTTTATGGAAAACTAGTGGGAATTGGTCAGTTGTAAGGGTTCAATAAAGTCAAGCAGATAACAAGCGAATGAGCCGATTTGATTTCGGATCCGACTGATACTGATTAATCGACCATTGACTGCAAATCAATTCTTTTTTTCTCTGAACACGCGTAGATTCTAATATACTCTTATGGTGTGAGTTTGAAGTTCTAAGAATTTATTATTCTATCACTTTGCGTTATATTGAACTGTCAATGTTGTTATGCTCATATGACTGCACATCTATATGGTACATTAATAGGGAACTGCAAAATCACTTTTTTTAGTCCCGGTCCCGGTCCCGGTCCCGGTCAAATATTTTTTTTCAGTCCCGGTCCCGGTCCCGGTCCCGGTCAATTTTTTTTCCAGTCCCGGTCCCGGTCCCGGTCTTTGACATTGACTTCATTCCTAAAATCGAACAATTTTTTTTACGATCTNGTAGCGGTAGATCCTATGAAATTTAAAAAATCTGTAAAAAGCATTGTAAGCTGATTTCGAATCCAAAAACAAATATCACCATTCGACTCAGCATGATGAATTACCCCATCCCAGACTGTTTCCCAGGTGATCCAAGGTCAATTGGCTGAAATCAGGGGTCTCAGAAAAACTCTTATAACTCTTGAACGGAACAAGCTAGAAAGGCGGGCTTTTCGTAGATCAAAAGAGAACAATTTTTTCTATCAAAAACGTAAATTAACAATCGAGCAAAATTGAGAAACAGCTCCAGAATACCGTGCTCAACATTTTCATCGAGAATGCATCTCATTGGTCCATTGCTGACCAATTATATTTTACCATGTGCGGATGCCCCTGGGCGTTTTCTTTCTAATGGTGAAACCCGCAGGTCGCTAGCTACATTCGTTCAGGAGATATTCCTCCTTGAGTTTTCTCCATCTACTTCTGGCGCCGACATTAGTAATATAATCGTTTGTACTTCTAATCATCGTATCCTTGCTGTACATCGTCGACTTTTCTTTCAAAAAAAAAAGATGTGATAAGAATCATTCCTTGTTGGTGACGTATGAAAACATCAAGGACATACTAACCTTGCTATCGATTACTCTCTCGCTTTCTATTCTATAAACATCTTCTTTTTCTTTTGTTCTGTCAAATCTCTTTGATTGGTCTTTCTTTTGTGCTCTCCTATACACAATATTGTGTTCTATCTAATGTGAGAAACGGCTGAAGTGATGAACTAGTATAGTCAACATCAACATTGAAGGTGTTGATAAAGATACTTTTATAGTTTTTCGTTGAATATTAATTTATAATAAATGTAAATATAAATATAAATAGTTCCATCTTTCATTTTTTTTGTAAACATAGTTTTAGAATTCCATGACAGGAATCCAAATCATTGAAGGTTTTAAGAATCAGTCTAGAAAAAAATCATGACATAAAACACGTTAAGAATTGTTATGACCATTTTATTAATAGGATGTCAAAGATTTTTTCTAGAAAAAAGTAATCTAGTTTAAACTTTCTGTCAATTTTATCTGCTAAAAATCTACATGATCAATACTGAAGCTATAATATAATTGGAAAAACAAAATTAAATACATGAGATATTGTTTGAACTCTGAACCTTATAAACTATACGAATTAATCGGCAACGGCCACTATAAGTTCTACTAAATAGTGTATTTGTTAATTACAACAAACACTACCATTTCTTTAATTGTTATATGAAATCAACTGATACTTAACAGTTTATAGCACAAATAAGTCAATCAAGATCATATATTAAATAAATTACAGTGTAACACGGCAACTGTTTACGACCATCTTAAATGAATCTCTACAATGTATTACGACTATTGTGAACAATGATCATTAAAAACAATCTTCGGTAACGACTGATGCAAGAACAGGACAAACGGAAAAGACGTTCAAAGAACTTGGTACAACATCGCTTAGATCAACTGTAAACAGTTTATTAAGTGATTCTCGTTTTCCATCCAACTTATTTGTAAACAGTCAGTACTGACAATGATCTGTACTGATTAAAGTCTATAGAATCTAATGCATAGATTTAAATCACATTATAAATATCCTACTAAACGAAAATGGTAGATCAATGATCATCGTGAACTCGTCATGACTCAAAAGTTTCGATTAGTCAAGCAAATGAATTTATTGTTTGAATCATATGCAAACATCGATCGACCTACTGTTTTATGTTAAAAGATCAATAATTACTCGAATGGTAGATTAAGAATAGTACATCATTTTATAAATTCATGTTTCGCTATGTTTCTAGTCAAATGCGTAAACATTGTCATATGTCAATATTTCACTCTAAAAACTTTTTTTGAATAATTTGAAGCTCTTAAGAAACAGTCAAAACTAGTTGTCTGCATCAGAGAATGATATAGTAAGAGTGATATCGCTGATAATTATAATAAAACTGATACAATTGAGTTAAAGTGTTTCGCTCCTTGAGTAAATGCTCTCTATAATCTAAAAAATGGGATAATAACATAATATTATTAAAAAAATCGTATGAATAATATGCCATAATTTTGTATAAAATATTCATGAACAACTCTCTAGATATTTCAAATAGGTTGACTGTTATAGTTCGACAAAACTTCAGAATCATCCAAAAGGATTTCAAGAGTGAAATATTGGCATGTAACAACGTTTGCTTATTCTAATAGAAAAATAATAAAACATCTATCGACTAAATGATTTTACTTTTTTAGATCTACTATTCGAGTAATTATTGATCTTTTAGCATAAAATTATAGGTTGATTCATAGTTCTACTTGACTCAAACCAAGAACTCATGTAGTTGATTAATCAAGATTTTTGACTCGTGACGAATTCACAATACTCATCAATGTATCATTTTCGTTTATTAGGCTGTTTACTTGTCAAATTCTTAGGGAACAATAATCAAACATTGAGAAAATTCTTCGAAAAATATCAGATTGATTCATAAAACTTTCACTGAATTTTTGACCTCTTAATAAAATTCTACAGCTTTCTTGCATTTTTACGCTGTCAGAGGAAATGATCCAATTCATCAACAACTTCATGAATTTCGATAAAATTTATCATAGAAATAACTATTATTTGGAGATACAAAATGAGCAATCAGTCGACTAAAAAAAGATCTTTCTGTTATCAAATAATGGGATTTACAGTGATCTTGGATGTTACCTATTATAACTCTGTTCTAGCTCGACAAGTTTCAACACTGATAGTTGCACTGAGATTTACATTTTCTTTTGACTATCTACAGGAAAATTTGCAGAGGGTCAGTTATCATAAAGACTAAGATTTAAGGAGAAATATTTTTAACCTGTAGTGTAGGTCTAATGGTAGAGTTATACGTTATGAAACATAATATTTTCATGATTCTCTCTTACTTTGTTTCAATATTGTAATCTTTGTATTCATGAGTGACCATTTTGCACATGAACAATATTTTTCTCTTCTTTTGAACGATACACTTATTTAATTTTTCTTTCTCTGTGTACCAGTTCTATTGAAAAAATATATATATATTAAGGTTGAGAACAGCACTTCATAAAGTGAGGACATCAACAATAAAGAAAATATGCTTATCTCGCAAGCATCCTCGTACTCAAGGTTATTACTGTATATCGACATAGTTTTACATGTAAATATATGGAAATCTATTCATCATATATAGATATTCAGCGCACAAATGTTATCATTAGTACCGTAATCAGAAAATCATGAGTGGTAGGATACTTTCCGACAATCTTGGAAGAAATCCATGGAATAAAGTGTCAATAATGGTAATTATTACATTTTCTTGTCTTCTGATGGTAAGGCAAAGATGATCAGTGATAGAGCGGCTCTCTGTCTAGGCCATCACCAGTTCCATCACTAGTTATCGTAATGAAATAACGCTTTATATATGACTGCCATTATGGCTGAGTAAGATTCATTAAATGCATATACGATTATGAAGGTAAATGTATACTTCTATGCTCATTTAAAATAAGACTGTGTTATGGGCACGAATATAATTGTAAACGTTGTACGTATTTTACCGTGTACGACAAGGTGTCTCACTACCGTAACACTGTTCTCACTCAGGGTTTCATTTACGATTTGTATTCAATCATAATTGTATCGTTTACATAACGTTTCCGATGATATAAAAATCATTATAATACAATCGTTTATAATTTATCTAATGATCAATTTGAGAGACATTAGTTATATGTAATGGGAAGTTAATTTTCATTTCTTGTTTTCTAATTCTAAAATATTTGTCAGTAATTCATCCACTACAAGAATGTATTGACTGAGTCTTGAATATTCTTAAACAAGACTATTTTATTTCGTAGATCTTTTTTCTCATCACAACTTTATAAAATGATATCTTCTTTGAAGCTGATAGGTATATGTCATTTTCATCGGATCAAGGAAACAATTTTTCTAAGTATATTGTATTTGACCGAAAAATGCTTCTTAGAAAAACTAAATCAATCGTTTAAGTAAGAATTCAAAATCAAGTTTCTCTCTTCTAAGTTGAACGCAATTTTCGAAGAAAGTCTCTAAGAATTTGATAGTCATATTTTAATCCAAAAACTGAATGTGAAAGTCTAATTTTTAGAAAATAATCATTTAGATAAAATAAAAACAATATAATTATTGTAATTCTAGTTAATAGTATGTGACAATAAATGTTAACTTTATATTTAGAATGCGACTTCGAGCTATGATGTGCTTCTATCCGATATTCTTTTTACTATCGATGGTTTTCTTTATATTCATATATAATCACAATCAGGTTTGCATTGATCCTGTTCATAAAACGGATAAACCCATTTATGAAACTACTAAAAGCATTAATATCACAAATACATATATTGATAATTCAACATGTAATACCTCCATTGATTCATACAAAAGCTGTTATAAACATGTCACTGGATTAGTACCTTATGAAGATATTTCAATTGGTATTGAAACCGTTATTCGTCTTAAAAAACAACTCGAATCTGTTAATCAAACATTATTGAATATTTCACTTTATTGGAATCAAGACGATCGTTTTAAACCCTTTACAAACTTGATGTTATCAAAAAATGAATGTCAAATACTATATTGTGGAGCCAATGAAGCTGGTACAGATGGTCTTCAATTTATTGAACAATACGAACATTGTCATATCTGGTTTTTAGAACCAGTAGCACAATTCTATGATAAATTAATTCATTCCCGTAAAATATTACGAGAACTGAAAACAGGTAAACATCATTTGTACCATATCGGTCTATCAAATAAAAATGATCTTATTGATGTAACATGGCAGGATATAAAAGAATCACAAGCTTTGACTTTAGTTGGGAAACAAGAAAACAAACAAGACACTGGTAATGATCTAAAATACAAATTAATTTTGAGAGATGTTGTAGAAATACTATTCGAATTTCACATATTATCAAAGACGATTAATAGCACTATAACTGGAGAATTAAATTTATTACATGTCAATTGTGAAGGTTGTGAATATGATGTTATTGAAAGATTAATCAAAACAAATTTAATTAAATACATTAGAATAATACAATTTGGTTCACATAGACCATCAGCTATTCGTTCATCTGTCAATCAAAGATATTGTTGCTTACAACAAATGTTATTAAAGACACATCATTTACAATTTGGTATACCATGGGCTTGGGAGAGATGGTTAAGAAACGATCTAGTAGAGAAAAATGACTAACGTATTCATCAGACTATCATGAAAAAATGCAACATCATATCATTTTTTGTTACTGCAGCCAACTCTCGTTACGAATATCTCTAGCTTGTTATATATATATTAGCCACCACAAGACTTTGTAGTCTAGGATATTATCCGATGGCTTATCTTTATTCTATAGGACTATTTGTTTTTATTCATAAAAAAGAACGTTAAATGTATCTTTATCAATAAAGTCTTTGAATTTCTATAGCAATTTTATAGTCTATGAATGAATTGAAATATTATACTAAGTTCTATGCCGAACAAAATCTTCAGATAAATAAATATATATATATATATGATTGAGCTTTATTTATTTTGAACTTAGCAAAGAGACTATTCAGATAAGAAAAGTGTTCAACTTCAGCTATGCAACATTAAAATGTGAAACACAATGAATTATTTCAATCAGGAACACAAACCCTTCATCACGTCCATTATAGTCGTTGCAAATAGTGGCGGAAGATGCTAGAACTCCATTATTTAATTGTAAATTAGTGGTTTTCTAGAGATCTTTATCCTTTAAAAATATTTTTACGAAAAGTCATATTACGTCTCTAAGAGAAAAGCTTATCAAAGCCGCTAATCTTTTGCTTTGTATTTTTATCTTTTCTTCAATTATTGCTAATTTTCTCAAGAAATTCAATCTAGCATGTTGATTCTATTAGAAAATATCGGATCCAATATTGAATTGTCCCGAAAACCGTCGTTTATCCGCGAAAATAGATTAAATTCCTTACGACCAAAGTATCACAAAAAAAAATATTTGGTCAACACCTGTCGAATCCAGTAGCTGAATGTTTATCAGATCTGATTAAAATTTCAATTTGGAAAACAATAGATGTAATGAAATAAAATGATGGATCAATATCCTTATTATAGTTACGTTTATTATATTTTCGTATGCAATGAAGAATTAGATACGTAGCCTAATTGGCACACTAGCTATTAATATTGATTACAGTAATTCATTGCTTCTGTTATATCTCCTACGACATAGAATAGTACATCGTTTAGGAGAGTGCAAAGGAGTAATAAATGAAAGAGAATTGACAGAACAAAAGAAAAGAAGACATTTATAGAATAGAAAGAAAATGTAATCGATAGCGAAGCTAATATGTACTTTATATTGTCATATGTCACAGACAATGAAATACTCTTGTCACATATTTGTTTGATATGCATGTGATTTTTTCTTTAGTAATACGCTTGGCTGTTGCATAGTCCTAAGTGACTTCTTTTGATCCAATGGTCAGTCTGTTTAAAAGCTTTGCTATCAGTTAATATAAATCGCATAATTCAACATCGACACTATTCTTGTTGTAGCTTAGATATGATAAACTTTGAAGTGAGGGCAAAATGCAATGAACTATACAGCAGTAAGAATACGATGCTTTTTTCTTTAATTTAGTACACGGATAACTTATTAGAAAAAAAAGAAAGAATTTTATTCACACAACTTGATGCAGACGTAACTGTATGTTACGTCTTTTCTTGGAAAGAGAATAATGTCATAATAAAACTAAAAGAACTTAAAACAAAGAAAAGAAAAGTTCACTTTTATGTTCAACTTTTTAGTAGTGAAGACGTTTTATGCATATAATGAAGTATCACATAATTTATAAGATAAAGAATTTTCTCAATTTGTTGTCCAGCCCGTTCTCTTATCGTTGTCAAAGATACGTACACTTAATCTCGAATAACAAAATAATGATGAAAAAAATTAAAACAGATTATCATTGGTTTTTTTTTTGTAAGAATAGACTATTGTTTCATTATGACACGAGCCGTTTTCAGTTTTTTAATTAAATATCTGAAACAAAAAAATCTATGTCATCAATATTTTATTACTTTTGGTGATTAATGACGATACTCGAAAGAGCGGCGATTGAATATCGATGAGAAAAAAATTCGTCATTAAACAAGATTGATTGACAAATTTTCCAATAATTAAAGTAAATCACAATATTTCCAAAACAATGATACGATTAATATCAGTTTACAAAATAAATTACATTTTTTGTTTCGATTAATACATTAGTTATGATTTCATCCGTAAGTATTGATGATGACAAAAATCTTTTTTTTTCTATTTATCGGAGGGTGCAAAGAAAAACTCATTCCTCTTCTCTTTTTCTGAGACTCTCATGCGAATACGACAATAAACGGTGTCGTGCACAAAAGTTTACTGTAGTCGTTATTTCTCAGTGTTTTAAGAAACTTTCGAGAAATTCTTTATGGAAAGCTTATCAGAGTTACTCATTATTTTTTTTAATTGTAGATTAATCACAATTTTTTATGAAAATCAAGAAAAAAAAATTGTCCATGCAGTAATTTAATCGTGGTAAAGTTGTAGACTTTTATGCGATTTTGATAATATAGAAAATCGTTTGATATTTAGTAACCTTTTATATTGTAAGAACAAAATTTAAATGTCACTTATCAAATTGAATACATATAATATGTGTCTCGATAATTGATTCATTTCAAACTTTAGCAGTCTATAATTACTTACGCAGAAACAGTGAGGCACAGAAACATGTATCATATGCCTAATATTCATCATTGTTATGAACGATATTTAAGAATAAAAATAACATTAAATTAATTTTAACTAATTGATATACTGTTGTTAGGCATGTATCGAAATGCAAATGAAAAAATTTTCTAATCTATTTGGCCGTCTCTCCAAATGATTCCACAGAAAATTGAAAAATATGTTGCATGGCTCGGTTTTAAAGATTTAAAATTGAAACATAGGATATGAATACTAAGTTATTTATAATTATTGATATTTTAATTGTTATCTTACACAAAAGTGAAATTAGTTTAGCTTAAAATAATCGACAGAATGATTTATACATTCGTCAATTGCAATATGAAAGTGATAAACAACAAACTCGGGATTGAGCATATCAAATAGTCTTTAATAATTATTTTTATAGTATGATTGATATATTTCTATATAATTTAAATAACGAAATTATTCAATATAACATCACACAAATATCAACTCTCAAGGCTTCACGATAACTTGATTTCTAAAAGCAATGAATTGTTATACAGTTTTTGTCAAGCATTTTACATGTGCAGCGTCAAACAATGAAAGATTCTAGTGATGTTTTAGAACTATTTGATGTTGTTTTACCAAGTTTGACTTTAATAAATGTTTCATTTTCAAATTCTGCTGTAAAAGGATCTGATTTTTCAACTTCAATATTAAATGGAGTTGACTTTTCTGACAAAAGATTCTATGAAACAAAAAATATTAATGTTAAATTACAACGATCTAATTTCAGATGAGTGTCTGTAAAAAGAAATATTTGATTTATTTAATGAAATCTAATTCAATCGCTCAGCCTTTATTGATTTTTAATACGATTTTATGAAATGATACATACACTCTCAATAAAACATTTCTAATAAATTATTTGTATCGATAATATTTTTTGAGAATAAGTTAGGTTATTTGCTTTAGATTGCCAGATGTTTCTTCAATTATAGATAATGTGAATGATAAATTGATTGTCGGCTAGCACAAATTTGATTTCTTTTGAAATTTGATTTTTATTATTTTTCAAATCAAGATATTTTTAACTCTACGACTTTGATCAAATAATCCATTAGCAAGAGAAAATATTATAATAAAACTTTTTTTATTTTATATATTTGATTTTATGTTCAGATTTGATTCTTTATGTATGATATATTTATAGTGAAAATAAATTAAAAGATATGTAAAATAATAAATCAATTAATAACTTGTTATTTAGACTCTACAAAGAAAAATAACTCCTGAAATAAACTATATTTACTAAACTGGATCTAATTATTCAATACAGTGAATCTATATTTTCGAGTACAGTCTTTTAAAGAAAGAAACATCTTACAGCAAAAAAAAACAATATTAACCGTAATAATCAATCATTTTGTATATTCATGTACTCTATTGATAATATTTTGAATATATATGAATTATTTCGACAAGAGTTCAAACTTATTCTTTTTGTATGTGTGATAGTGGCACATTAAATAACAAGGTAAATCTACCGATTAACAACTATTCTTGATAAAATATAGAGGATATTAATAGTGAATGCTGTTGGTAATTGTTTTTTTTAATAATGAGCAGTGAAAATTTTGAAAGAAGAGGAATATTCTTTTTTTCTGTCGATGTTATATTCATTGACTCACCAAAGTTTCAGCATAGTAAAGTGGCTACAAACAACTATCCACAGTCGTTCTTTCATTACATTTGTATAGAAAGATCGTTAATAATTGATTAACATAATATTTAATTTGAAAGAGAGATAATTATTGAGTTAAACGTATTACTCATGAAGAATAATGCACGAACAATACATCAGCAATTGGATATGCACAGTTTTATGCATTTCCAATCGATAACCGACAAATTTATTCTCGTATAAACTCACTTCAATACAATATCATATATTTTTTTGTCCAAAACTGCTTTGTAAGATGAAAAATTTCATTTTCTTTTCAAAAGAATTAATTTATTTGTTAAGATAAATTGCAACTAACTTGTGTGAGTCAAACCTTTTTTATCTGTGTTTGTAAACACCAACCACCTTCATTACCAATCATGCGGAAACATTCATATTAAATTAGCAGTACTAATGTAAGTAGCTGAACTATTATTGAAACAAAACTTTATTTCGTCTAAAAAAAATAGAACAGAATGTGTATCATTTTATTATTTAGAACTAAGCCAAGGTGCATTGCTAGAAAAATGATAAACTTTCCACTGATCAATTGTAATATAGTTCAGGATTTGATGAATTCGAAAGATTATATCATGTAAGAGCTGTCGTTAGTATTATCAAATAAAAAAAATTTCTTTCTCTCTACTTTCGAACGAAAAGAGAACAAATACTTGTTCGAATCTATTTACTTGAATGACAAAATAATATCATTTCAAAATATATCTTATTTATTCTATTCAATAACGCATATATATGTATATTATATAATAATCGACACAAACAACATAAAATACAATAAAAATTCGAAAAAATTCGATTACAATTTAAAACAAAAAATAATCTAATCTAAAAAAATAGTTCGATTGCAATAAAAGCGATCAAAATTAGCATGAATAATAGTCATTATATACAGTCATTAATATAATATACAGAGAAATAAAATAGTATTATTTATATTTATGAAGACTATTTTATTTTTTTTGAAGCTGATCTTGTTGGTTGTTTTCTTGTACTAATCGATTTTTTTGTCGATGTTGCTTCTTGCCGTTTTGTACGTTTTATTGGTGTTGTTTTTGCAGGTATTGATAATTGTTTTCTTTTTCGTGTTGTTGATACTGGTGTTTGATCATTTGTTCGAACACTTGCCTGTTTGTTAACAGTATATCCATGTTTAAGTTTTTCCTGTGTTTTTTTGTCGACATATTTTTGTGCTTCTGATTGACTTGAAAAATCTTTATATAAAATAATTGCATTAGAATCTGCTTCACCTAATAAACCATATTTCGTTTTTGTTGTTTTATTATCAATAGAAATTTGCCAATATTTTTTTTCTTCATCATGTTCTAAATAAGTTGTATTAGCAGTTGTTGATGTTTCAGATAATTTTCCTTCAATTTGTTTTTCATAACCGAAAAGTTTTTTTAATCTATCTTGATCTTTCTTTTTTAATTCATCAAAACCTTGAAGATCTTCTTCAACATTTTGTACACGTTTTTTATTTTCATTTCCTGAGCGTAAATAATTTATAAAACATTGAACATGATAATAAACAGGCATTAATTGTTTTTCACGTGTTGATGATTGAGGAATAAATGGATTTGGTATTGAACGAGACAGGCGAAGTGTTCCTTTCGTTATTTCATTGTCACAATATTTACCATGACATCTTGCATTACTACTTTTGGCGTAGTCACAGCCAAATGCTACTGTAATACTTTCATCATCATCATCACCACCAGTAGTAGAAGCCATTAGTTTGTTTTTTTACTCGGAAAATACTATCTAAAATTTTACAAAGAATAAAAGACCCATATTTCTACACTAAATAGCTAACTACTTCTGCTTTTCTTGCGTATTATTATAATATTATTCCTAAGATATGATCCGCTTAGTGTTGTCTCAAAGCCAATCATACAAAAAGAATTCGTAAAAAGAAGAAAATTAACAAAAGATTAACTGCCAAGTGAACCTAACTGACAAATATTTGTCATTTTTGTCCTTCAACGAACGACCTGGCGAAGTAACCAATGGATGACCAATCAGAAAGTCACGTATAAGTGTTCGATACATAAAAGAAGTTCAACTGTGTAGAAAATTCTAAAAAAAAGTACATTCTACTTAAAAAAATTATGCACCAAAATTTTGCTTCTTAATTTATACTGTAGAGTGCGCTAGTAATTGCAAGATTGTAGACACATGCTGGCTTGCTGACCTCATGTAATTTTGAAAATTATACTTTTCTAGGACTCATCACATTTCTGATGTACTTTTTCAGATTTGTTTGAATAAATTGCAAGTAGAAAGGGATCATTTTCAGGACATACGTTTAGATCAACTGAGCAAAAGAATTGATTCAACAGGTCTTTTGATTAGAAGTGAATTGTTTATGAACAAGTTTCTGATACAAACTGCTTGACAACGCAAGATTAACACTCTGTCCATCATTTTTCTCGACTTAATTTAGACTACTGCCTCTATCTTTTCAAATATCACCTGAGAATTATCATAGTTCATATCTATAACTATTCAACTTTCGTCTAGACTTAGTATATGGTTATTTGAGATGTTTCGCTAGGCTAATATATTTGCTTACTTTAGTACGAGTCGAATGCATTTTCAAGTGTCTTGATATAGACCTTGACTTTTAATCTTAAGTTAATTGAATACACTATGCAATGTTACGAACATCTTTTAGCTTTATTTCATATATTGGAAAGAAATTTACGATTAGTGATGGAGATAGTTTGATGTAGGTTCAATTCTATTGTCTTTGAAGCTAAATCCTAGTTTTGATCGATATATAAAAACACAAGAGGAACTTGTATACGTTGTTCGTGCCCGAAGTATTACACGATGGAAACAACGATACTGAACAAAGAATATGTAATGATCAAAGAGAATGACAAAAATACAGAAGTAGGCTATGAAAGTGATCAGCAAATTTTGCGTAGAAAACAAAGTAATTATGGTATGACATTTGAGCTTATTTATCACCAAAAACCAGCGATAGAGCAGTTTTTTTATGCTTTCAACTTACTAACAATGTATGCACAAAAGCTTTTGGCCCAAGAATTAAATAAGCTTTTTACGAGCTTGAAAACCTTATTCAATAAGAGTTGTAATTTCGAGCGAGTTCGTCGCTTAATTATTGCACCCAAGCAATGGAGTCGAGAAAAAATTCTACAATTATGAGTATCATGAAGGTTAGTTACTGAATACTTCATTTTTACTTGGTTTCAACAGCAAAAACTTCGGGTAAACTATCTTTCTAGTCTACTTTGGGTTCAACTCAACATCAAACTTATCTCTATTTCTTTGATAGACCGAAGGTGTTTTTGCTATGCTCGAAAACTTTAAGGATATTAGACCAATCCATCATGATACAATTCCTAGTATACTCAACTCTTACCATCAGGATAGTATTAGTCAAATGTCGTCAAACACCAAAAGATACAATTCAAATTTAACCAATGACAATATGTCTGCAACCAAACTTTGTTTTTCGATGCATTGTTGTACGAAAATTTAAAATCTTTCGTGAAAAATAAACTACATTGAGAGAATTTTACACAGCAATAATTGCAAGTTTCCCTCACATGACTATTTGCTTTCATGTAAATTGACTACTTTCACATTGTCAGAATTATTCATATGTGTGGCTTATTTATTTTCAATCCATACCAAACAAGTCTTCTTAAATAGGATTGAATACATTCGTTAGAAAAAATCTTATCTTTCAAATGGTGTGTCATGATGATACGGAAGATTGATTTGACATTGAGTGCTAACAATGGTCGACTAAATCTATCGTCAATATTCTTAGAAAGAATGTCAGTTCTGACATTGAGGAAACTAGTTTATGAAGTGTTTGGAAAAGAGGGAATAACAAATGAATCTTCACGCAATAAATGATAACTTCTATTGAAGCACTCGCAGCTCTAATAGAAGAACAAGGGTATTCGTTTATTCTATGCACTTTTTGCAGTTAAGAAGTTGTGCATATATTTCTGAACATCGTACACAATCAATGAAACTTAAATGTGATGTTACTTGAAAGAATTTCTCTGTGAATTACGTCCTGATCCGTCAACGAGAAGTACGACAAAGTTTTTTCTCAACATCAAGTCTGTCTACATATAATTTATATGAGAGTCTAAAAAGAATGCTGTAAAATAACAATAATCAATGACTCCATGAAACATAATGTGACATTTGTGTACTGCGTTCGAAAGGTTATAATTAACAACGTGAAGAAAAACTTAATTATATTTAATTCGGATTTTAAAATTTGGGGAAATTATTCTGTTCTAATGGTTCAAATCAGACGAAAACAGCAGATTTTATGGTTCTTAGAATCTCTCAAAATCTCTTTGTCTTGCAGAGCTTCATCAAATCTGTGAAGAATGTGCATGTGAGTCATCGCTTCTTTCATTGGCCATATCAACATTCTTTTTCTTCAATATTTGTGTTCCTATTTATTGGTGAATGCTCATATAAAAAGACTAGAGGTGCAATTAAGCAGAACTAATTAACTCAATTTCATATAAAGATCTTATCTATCGATTTAGCTATCTCATTGTAATAGATTACTTTCATTAAGCAAAATGTTGCAATAATAAGAACAAGCCAATCAATATTGTGTCAATTTCATGAGTTTTCATTATTTATATCAACCAAGATTTCTTTCTTTCTCATTTCCATCACAGTTTAATATGAAATACAATATTACATGATTTTCGATAATTTAAGAGTCATTCAAATCGACTCGTTAATGATACATATCAACATGCACGAATTGAAACAAACAGCTATAAATGTTCACTTGTCTACAAGAGAATGTACAGATGAAATTAATTTGCAGGTGTTTACGTGTGCTTAATCATTCCTAAAAAACTCATGTGACTCTTTATCTTTTTCCGTTCAAGAAGATTTTTCTTGTTACTTCAGACAGTTTTTGATGATCATACATCGATCTTCGCAATCAAGTTAAAAAATAGGTTTTCTAGAAAAGTGAAAGAAAGCTCAAGAGTTTACCCAATAGAAACTTACAGATAGTTGTTCAGCTTCGAAGAACAGTACCAATTCTATAAGATTGAACAGTCTAATAAATATATTCTCGTTATAGAAAAGAATAATACATATAAACAATAAAAACAATGTTTATATAGCGGATTGATCCGAAAATGCAATTGTCTCAAATGAAACGGAATCTCGTTTTTTGGTTCTTGCTTGCATCCAAAACTGTGGTACAAAACCAAGAAAATAGAGAAAAGGTGTAGCAGCAGCAATGTATTCTGGAATGCCTGTCGCAGTTAGAATCCAAGCAACAAAACCTGCAATAAGTATTAGGCTACAGAGAAGAAACCATAGTGGCCAAAGCATATTCGAATGTCGTGGAGCATCTAATCGATGTATAAAAAGATAGAAGACGATAACAGTATGAAGAAAACAATAGAATGAAATGAGTCCAAACATGCCATATGCACCAGTGATATGAATAGAATAATTTTTATCAACATTTACGGCAGCCATAAGAAGAAGAAAAACAGTAGAGAGAAGACCAATAGCATGAACAACACTTATGACACCACGATGAACAATATATTGAGTTTGAAAGAGAAATTGAATTCGACCAAGGAGAATTACAAACAATTGAACTGATAAAATAACAAATCCAGTAACAAAATAAGGATATGCCTGACCAGTACCAAGTTGAGAAATTTGAGGAAACTTTTCATCTCGCGGCGCATTATTTGAAACTTGATTACATGCTACCAAAGTCAAAATAAATGTAATAATAGCAGTGAATGGTAAAATAGTTAAAGACCAAAACCATATCAATGGACCAATTCTTGCCATTTTTTAAAGAAAAGAATATCTGATCCTTTATGAATCGTTCCGAGAAAAAAACTTTGCTATATTGAATAAATATTGGTTTACATGTGTTATTATTTATATAATAATAGAAATGTGGTGAAAATGATAGTACAATGATGTTATAGCTATCTTTTGTTATCAGCTAGCTTGACTGAGAGAAGATAAACATCTATTACAACATGGTGACGTCACTTTTACTGTTATCGTGAAAAAGATGATCTTTGAATTCTTTCACAACTAACAACAATTTCTGTTAATACCATAACCTATAAATAATCGAACAGTTCATTTTTGAGATTATTTGTGTACAAATATCAGATTCCTCTGTATGTTACTATTTTCTGTTGTCTACAAGCATATACAGGTTGGCCCAAAAGTAACACAAAAAATAATTTTTTTTGAACATAGTAAATTAGATCTCACATTTATATCACATATATCAGGTAACATAATTCAAAGATGCAGCATATGATTAGTATCTAGCTGTTGGAACTGGTCGAAAAGTGTATAAATAATAAGAAGCTTGCCAGCGAAATTATGTTGCCGAGTTTGTCAATCAGTATCTGAGCAATTGCAACTTCGCAAAGACTTAGAGGATGAATACGTTCATCAATTTTTGTGAAAAGCTTTGCTATTAATAATACTTCACTTAAGCACATTACTACACTTAGATACTGATCATATGCTGCATCTTTGAATTATATTACTTATCATATCTGATATACATATGAGATGTAACTTACTATGCTAAAAAAAAATCGAAAAAATGATTTGTCATCATACTTTTGGGCCACCCTGTACATATGTTATAGCTAAATATAGAATAGACTTGTGTTATTTGAAGTATCTGTTTCTTGTCAGTTTCTATATTTATCCGTCTTTTATTTCTCTTGAATATATATTGATATAATAGAAAAATGTTCTATTTAGCATAAAATTAAGATAAAAGATGGTCGCCCGATTATTGTTCATCATCATATACCATATAAACATCAGATTCGTGATTTATAGCTGATATTGTTTCACCGTTTAATTTTCCTAATAAGAAAATCAAATTTGTTGATTTAAGAAAAAAAGTTAACTAACTATTAGCTTCGACTTGTTGATTTAAACAAATGATTGAATTTTGAATTTCACATTTTGATCCGATTATTGAACGAGAACATAATACAGAATTTTGAAGAGTTACTCTTAAATGATTATAAAGAAAATAAAAGACGGAATAAATTAATGTTCTTTTTATTTTTACCCTTCTTTAACATAAACATTATCTAGTAGAACACAATTAACTAATTTACATTTATCTTCAATTCGACAATTTTTTCCAATAATAGTTCGTTTAACTGTTGTTTTCTTTCCAATATCATGTCCATCACCAACGACACAATCAGGGCTAATCTAAAATTTTATTAATTATATTCTATTTTTATTCGTAACATAATAAATATCTTAATATTTGACTTTATAAGAGATTTTTTTACATCTTTATTCCAAGATCTGAAATTCTTATTTTAATTTCGACTACATCAAATTAAATGCTTAGATACGTATATAAAGATTCTTTAAAATGAACAAAACTTTACTTGAATCTGTTCGAGTCGATCTTTAAATGTAATATCCTCATTTGTATATGATAAAATGAGTGACGATGCCTTAAAAATACAAATAAAAAAAAAGATAATAACAATAAAGTAAAATAATGTTTATAAATGACTTGTCGATTAGCTTCAAGATACGAAAGAACATGTTTAACACGAAAAATTTGTGTTTCATCAATAAAATAATAACATCCTCCTCTTATTTGTTCATTGTCACAATCATATTGTTCTAAAAGTCTTGATAAATCAGCATGATCATCTAAATCAGTGGCTATTTTTCAAATAGAATCATATTTTCATTTCAATAAAAAAACCAAATGAAATCAAACTTTTTTGTCTAATCATCATCGATATATTAGCAGGTTTTAAAATGAGATCTTCAAGTGATTGATCCGTTGCCATTTGTCGAATCATTTTTGGTAAAAATTCTTTACGAAATGAAGAATAATTTGAACGAATAGCAATATCCAAACAAGACTTTTTTATTAAATATAAGTGAGCATCAACTAAATCTGTTCGAATTATTGTTCGAGGATATCTTATCAATAAAATAATTTATTTTAAATTAATAATATTAAAGCATTATCTTACTTAGCAAGAATATTTTGTCTTAATGGAAGATGTTCATCTAAATCAGCTTTTAATCGTATTGATGTTACTGTATCTGTTGATTGATCAACTGTGTAGAATTCGAGTTCTATTTTACAATAAATATTTTATTCTTCACTTATATACTATTTTAAGCAAGTTTCTTTTTTTTGTCGAGTTTCTTATTCAGATTTTTCACTCTTTTGTCTATATGAAGTTCATCATAATTTAATCATGAAAAAATCTAGAGCTATTTTCATATTCGATGCATAAAAAGAGAAATTCTCCCTTGTTTCTTTTGTTGACTAACTCTAGTCTAAAATAGAAGTGAAAATAATTTAGTTGAAACTCTTATCAGTATTATTATCATAGGGCTCACGTCTGAAAAAATCTTTAAAGCTTCGTCCAAGAAAAGTTTTTAAAATTCTGTTTATATTTTAGTTTTCTCTAATTTTCGAACTAGCAATATATCCTGGCTAAAGGAATAACTCAAGTTTTCTTTAAAGTTCAAATAGTTAGTAAATGAAAGACTAGCAATGATAACAAATAAATACATCTCAAATTGAAAAGTGTTACTTTTATAATTCACAAATATTCAGTTTGTTTACAGAATCTATCATGTCTCTAATTGTAACGATACTCGGAACTTCGATAAAAACGTAAAACTAACAAATATAAAATGTTATCAAGAGAACACAAGAATTATTAGTCAACAATGCGTGTTTTGAAAACCATTAAAGATAATATGGACTCATTTTCGAATTTTTCATACTGAAAAAATAAAAACTTCCTTTTCGGAAGAAGAGAGTTATCGATCTGTAGACTAATCATAAATCGGCTATTAAAACATTGATATTCAATTATGATTCTGTTAGTATGGATCCTATTTGATTATTTATTAAATTCGATTAGAGAAAACAGTTCCATTGATTCTGTGATTCAAAGAAAAAAAGAATATATACATATATATTCTATTCTAACCTGGAGTAAATTTAATTTTTTGTCCAGGTTGTACAATAGATTCTTTTCCAGCTGTTGATGGTGTCGTTGTTTTAAGTAAAAGCATAGATAATGATGCATCTCTTACTCTAAACATGTTAATTAATGGTGCAAGATTAACTTTTCCAAAAAGATCACAAGTAATAAGACATATTGATTCAGTTCTAATACGAGAATAGCATGAACGAAGAATATCTAATGTACCTAATTCATCTTGTGTTTGTTGTTGATCATCACTTGTTGATTCATGATGTTGTCGATAAATAATTATTTCATATGTTATATTTAATGTTGAAAGATAATCATCAAGAATTTGTCGACATTGACCAGATGTTAAAATAAGTAATGGTGCTGATGCAAGTGATGAATGAGATTGAATTATTTGAAGACTATACCATATTAACGGACGATTTCCAACAGGTAACAAGCATTTTGGAATAGACAAATCTGTTGATAAACGACTATTTCCACCAGCATATAGTATAACTGTGAATTCTTTCATTTTATTTTTAAAAATTTATCTTTAACAAATATATTAATTCAACTAGTCAATCAAAAATTTTTTATATAAGAGAATAAAGAAATTTTCTTAATCATTTCATTTAATAGTTAAGCTGAAAATTTCATGAATAAAAAACCATGATGCAATATTGCATCAGATATCACACTTCTATTTATAGAATTGTCAGAAATGTTAATATAAAAGCGAAATCTAAATATAATTTTCTCTCTTTTAAGATAAAAAATGATAATTTCATTTCCTATAACTTATTTAAAATGATTATATTTATTTAATTTATTATTGATATAAACAGTAAATATTAATTTGATTAAGAGAAAATATTTCCGAAGGATCTAAAAGCAAATGCAAATGAATTGTTTTTTTTTCTTTATTTTAAAGTGAATAATAAGACAGAACAAATCCTTTTTTTATTTTGTTTTCTTCTAATGATCTTTTTGTTCTAAACTTTCACACAAAAATGATAATACACAAGAAAAAGAAAAGAATTGTCTTAATTAATGTTTTTTTTAATTAAATTAAAAATGGAATAATCGCTTTGCGTTGTTTTGGATATTTCTCAGCAAATTCTTTTTTATAAGCTCGATGTTTTTGTTTAGCCCAAATGGTCATTTGTACAGCTCCAGCAAAAGTAAATAAAAATGCTGTTAATGTTTGTGTCATCAATGAAAAACCTAGCCATGAACCAATTTCATATGTATAATTAGGACATGAAACCAAATTAAATAAATTTGTTAAAGGATTTTTTTTATTTGGATATGGTATACGACGTTCATTTGTTCCAGCTGGACGAAGATCACGAAGAAGTAAGTGAATTGATAAATTACCAATTTCATTTAACTTAATATTTATTTAATTAGATTTATTTTTTAATTAAAATTAACTTACTAGAAATATAGCTAGACCCAAATAAATTTGAGCATTACCAAATGATGCTGGTGTATATTTTGGATGATTAACAAAATATGAAACAATTGCAGTAAAACCCCAATAATAACTACAATTCTATTATAGATAATATAAAATTATTTTATTTAAATTAGTAAATTTAAAAAAAGTTACTTTAAATAAATTAAATATTGGCATTGTTGAATGAGAAAAACGATGAACAAATATTGTTTCTAATATACGCTTTCCATAATGAAATGTCCAACAAGCAGCACCCAAACTAAATTATTAATGAAAAATAATTTCATTTTTTTATTTTTAAATCAAATTAACTAACTGAGCAGCAAGATGCATTGGTTTTGAAGCAGCTGATGAACCATATATAAGAC